GGATTTAAGTAGGGTTGGGGTGTGGCTCAAACGGTAGAGCCTCACCAAACAAGCATAAGACCCTGAGTTCAAAGCCCAGAGCTGCCATTTAGAGTAGGACTGGAATTGTATCTCAGTAGTATGCAAAAATTGAACAGCTATATATTTTTAATGTGAAATGGAAAAGAGCTAATTTAGATGATAATTTACTCCTTAAATGTTTTCAAAGAGAGCCCCAGGACTTTGATGATTACTGTCACCAGACACTGGAAAAGCTAGGTATGTGACAGCAGGTTAAAATGGAGACTGGTGGAGATCTTATAGGAAGCAGTGGAGTCCCTTGGTGTCCCCACCCTTCAGTACCTCTAAAAGCTCCACACTTGAAGACGGCGGACAGGGGAAGGAGATGGTAAGCCAGGATCACACACAAAGGACTCTACTGCACCCCATTTGATCCATGTCCCTCCCCAGCATGGCTTAGCATTATTTGTGAGGGGGCCAGCCTGGGGTGAGATCTTCCTTCCTGTGCTCCCCTGTGTCACCACAGAAACCATCAGCTAATTCCACAAGCCATAATGCCTCACTTCTGAAAGGCTGCTGATACATAAGTTGCTCAGTGGGCACTAAACCATCACTGGGAGAGGTAAGAGCCATGATGCCAGCTGACTGGGGTGTCCAGGCACAAATCCTTAAGTAACTGATACCTGTTTCTGTGCCCAGATGATCTGGAGAGCATTTAACTGACATTCAAAGACAGTCATGTGCATGACTGCCAGAGTGATCCAGTGGGATATTTACCTAAATCATATACTCCATAACTTAGCTGATCCTTGGCCTTGCAAAAGAATTCAAAGGACATTAGAAAATACAGTTGAGCTGAGCACTGGTGGCTCACACCTGTAATCCTAACAGGAGGCTGAGATCTGAGGATCATGGTTCAAAGCCAGCCCGGGTGGGCAGGAAAGTTCGAGAGACTCATCTCCAATAACCCACAAAAAAACCAGAGGTGGCACTGTGGCTCATGTGGTAGAGCACTTGCCTTGAGCTGAAGAGCTGAGGGACAGTGCTCAGGCCCAGTGTTCAAGCCCCGTGACCAAAAGAAGAAAAAAATACAGTTGAGACAAATGTTAAAACTGTGATTTTAAGTGAAAGTCAACTCCAAACAAAAGATTAAGAATGTTCAGTGCAAGCAACAAGAGTCTCAATTTGAAAACTTCCCTAGAAACATTACACTCAAAACATTAAGTACACAGAATAAGGAAAGAATACTGAAAAGGAGAAGAAACAAGTTATAATAACAGTGGGCTATTAGAATAACAACAGATGTGTGTAAAGGTAAGGAGAACATAAAGAGTGTAATTCAAACAACAGCAAAAGATACTACAGAAAACATTCAAGTGCATGGAGATTGAAGAAATGGTTGAATAACAAGTGGGTCACTGAAGAAATAGAGAAATCGAAAGCTTCTGTACTTTCATGAAAATGTACACACAATCTGCCCAGAACCATTGGGATCCAGCAAAGGCAGTGATAAAGGGGAAACGTACAGCTGAATTCCTACATAAAAGAAAAAACATTTCCCGAGAGTTCCCAGATAGCATAAGAATACACCTCAAGCTGGGGGCTAGAGGCTCATACCTAAAATCCTTGCTACTCAGGAGACAGATCTCAGGATCATAGTTCCAAGCCAGAACAGGCAGGAAAGTCCATGAGACTTTTATCTCCAATTAACCACTAGAAAACCAGAAGTGGCACTGTGGCTCAAAGTGATAGAGCACTAGCCTTGAGCTCAAGAGCTCATGGACAGCACTCAGGCCCTAAGTTCAAGCTCCATTACTAAACACACACACACACACACACACACACACACACACTTTAAGCTTCTAGAAGAACATGCAAGCCAAACCCAAAAATGATACCGAAATAATAAATATTAGTACAGAAATTAGTGAAATGGAGACCAAATGACTATACAAAAAAATCAATGAAGCAAAAACTGGTTCTTTAAAAAATTAAATAAGGGGGCTGGGAAGGTGGCTCAGTGGTAGAGTGCTTGCCTTGCATACATGAGTCTCTGGGTTCGATTCCTCAGCACCACATAAGGAGATAAAGCCAGAAGAGGCGCTATGACTCAAGTGGTAGAGTGCTAGCCTTGTGCTGAAGAGCTGAGGGACAGTGCCCAGGCTCTGAGTCCAGGCCCCATGACTGACAAAAACAAACAAAATAAATAAGAATAAATGCCTAATTTCATTAAATGGAGAGACAAGATGCAAATGAATAAACTTAGAGGTGAAAAGGGAGTATCACTAGAGATACCAGAGCACTCCAAAGGAGTGTGAGGAAATACAGAGAAAACCTATACTCGAAATGCAAAATTTAGAAGAACTGGATAAGTTTTTAAGTACAGTTGATCTACCAAAATTTAACTAAGATGATATAAACCACTTCAACAGATTTACAACGAGCAATGAGATTGAAGCATTAATAGAATCTCTCAACAACGAAAAGTCCAGGACTTGATGGATTCATGGCCAAATTCTCTCAGATCTTCAAAGAAGGACTAACATTGATTTTCCTCAGTCTCTTCCATGAAATAGAAAAGGAAAGAACACTGTCAAATTCATTCTGTGAACAAGTACTACACTCATTCCAAAACTGAACAGAAATTCGACAACAAAAGAATCTTAGATTATTCTCGTTGATGAATGTTGATGCAAAAATTTTCAATAAAATTATTGCAAACAGAATTTAAAAATCATACACTAAAATCAAATTGGTTTTATCCCAGGAATGCAAGCATGGGTTCAATATCCATAAACCAATAAAAAGTAATATAGAAACAGGATCAAGGCGAAAAAATATATGATCCATCTCAATGCAGACAAAGTCTTTGGCAAAATTAACCACCCATTTATGAGGAAGCCCCGGAAGAAACTAGGAACAGAAGAAATGTATCTGAACTTACCAAGGGATATTTATGACAAAGCTGTAGCCAACATCATATTAAATGGGGAAAAAGTGAAATTATTTCCCCTAAAGTCAGGAACAAGTCAAGAGTATTATTCTCCTTATGGTACTAGAATTCCTAGCCAGAGCAACAAAGCAGGAAAACTAAAAAATATTTAATAAGGAAGGAAGAAGTCAATTTTTTCCAAAAATAATACATGGCCACTTCCTCCTTTCTTGGAGAAGGAGACAGAGTAGCTAGTTGGTGGAGAGGACCATGTGTCCTCTAGCTGGGTGGGGTGGGTGTTTACAGGTAACCTGAGCCTGCTCACACCTTTCGCTGTGCTCCAGTGACCACTGTGTGCCACACACAGGCAGCTCAGCCATCTCTGCCTACTCTGACCTCTGGACCAGGACTCCTGTCTTTCCAGTCCTCCAGATCACGGATTTCTCTTGTGTTCTCCTGTCCAGCCAGTAGGGGACCACATTGTCATTGCCACTACATCCCTGTCAGAAAGAGCTCATAGCAGTGCAGTGGCCTAGATGCCAGTGGTCCAGCCTTTCCTTTGGCCTTCAGCCCTCCCTGTCCCCCCACCAGACCTTCCTGGAAGGTAAGCACAAGTTCAGCTTAGTCACCATCAAGATCCCTGGCCCACTCGCTGCCACACCGGCTGCCCAGTTTGACCTTTCTGCCAGCAACTTCCTGTCTCACAGTGCCTTCCAGAACCTCCTTCCTGCCCAGGCTTCTCCTGGAAATCTCAGTCCCAGGAAAGATGGAAGGGTTCCTGAATCCAAGTGATGCTGACTTCCTTCCTTTCAGGCTCCAGCACTGCCAGTAAATCAAAGGCTGTATTTGTCTGGTCTTGACAGTTAAGTCCTGCTCTTAAGGCTCTGGAATGTGCTACAACAGTGAGGTTCGTCTTAGGCGGTCCATTTTGATGTTTCTCATCTTGTTCCTAACCCAGAGGAAATGCAAGGTTACAGGGTGTTATCAAACAGAAAGCTTGACCTGGGGGAGAAGAGTTGAAAGGAGGAGCCACCAGCAGGCCGGGCCTGCAGCGTAGAAGGCAAGGGCTCCAGGGAACAGTAGCCTGAATTAGTGAGATGGATATAAGGGTTAGGGAGGAAATCTCCTGGTCCAGGGGCCCAGAAAACGGTGATGTCTTCTACTTGTCTGGATGGAGCTCAGGTGTGGCTGTTGAAATGGAAAGTGTCGGGGAATGCCTTGATGGGGAGACAGGCACGCAGCAGTGGGGGTTCAATGCTGAGGACAATGATGCTGTGTAAGAGGCTTCAGGTATGGTGCTTGCATCTGGAGCTCAGAGGTAAAGGGACTACATGGCTCAGTCCCTGTTGACTTACACTGTCTGGTCTAGGTTATATCTGTTGGCCTGGCCTGGCCAGTAAGTGGTGGGTACCTTCTTCAGTCTCAAAAGTGTCCTAGTTTGGGCCAGGCACAGGTGCCTCACACTTTGTAATCCAGGCTGAGATCTGGAGAGGATCAAAGTTCGAGGCCAGCCAAGGCAGAAAAGTCAAGAGATTTCATCTCCAAAAAGCAGGGCTGAAGGCATGGTTCAAATGGTAAAGTGCCAGCCAAGCAAGCAAGGCCCTGGGTTCAAACTCCAATAATGGCAAAAAATAAATTAATTAAAAGCATCTCTATTTGGGTAACATGGTCATTCCACTCAAAAGAGACCTCATAGGGTAGGAAATAATAACAAACCTAAGGCTCTGAAGGTCATTTCCATGCACCTGCTTCACCCTCTTTCCAGTCCTTTCTTAGTTGCCTACATTTACACCTAGTTTATTTTCTTTGTCCCTGCTGCCATGTTTTTCTCTCCATCTTCCTTGGCAAGGAGCCACTCACCGCCAGGGAGAGGATTTCCATCTCTGGGGCACCCCTAAGGCACTGGTCTGGCTGAAGGGGAGAAAGACTTGCCTTGTGGCAGGGGTGAGGCCGGGTTGGGTGAGCCCGTCGGGCTGGGTGACGTGGGGGCAAACCCCTTGTGCACTTGGAATCTCAGTTCTCCCTGAGACAAATGGCTGTCGAACAAGTGACCCGACATATCCCTAAGATGTTGCGTTCTTCCTATGCATTTCTCTCGGGGTTATTAGCAGCAGATGGCAAGCACCTCAAAGGGAAAGTTCTGTGTGTCCGTGTAAGGGATGACCCCGAGCGCACGAGGCTCGTTTCTTGGCGAGCACGCAGCGCGGCCCGCGCCAGGCCCGCACCGGCCCCTGTGACCTGCAGAGGGCGCCGTAGACACACCGAGGGCCAAGCGGGGTCCGGGCCGGGTGCGAGGCCGGCGCAGCTCCTAGGAAGGGTTTCTTCCCAAGGGGGGCGCCGGAGCCGAGGGGGATGGAAGGCAGAGGAAGGACAGAGCAGACGGAAAGCCCGGTGACCCCCGGAGGCAGGCCGCCTCCGCCGCCGCCGATCAAGCCTCAGTTTCCTCGCTGACGGGCGAATTCCGGTAAGGGGGCGCCGGGAACTCGGAGAGCGCTCTCCGAGCGGGGCGGAGGGACCATAGGATTTGTAGGCACCCCCAGGTTCCGGTCCTGACGGTCACCTGTCCCCCCACTCCACCCCCTGCGTCCGCGTTGGCTCATCAGGGACGCGGGTTACTAACGGAGGCTCGGCTCCGAGAGGCTGGACTCCTGGAGGCCGCGGCCACGCGCCCGTCGCCAAGCCAGCGCTTGGGCCGCGGGGCAGGACCGAATCCCGGGACTCCTGAGTCGCCGCTCCGGCCGGGGCTGGGGCCGGGAGTCCAGGCACACTTGGCGGGACAGAGGAGGCTGAGCCCCGCGCGACCCCGCAGATGTCGTCGCTCGGGGGCGGCGTCTCCC